GCTTTTGTGTTCTAGGCAAGGCACCAGCAAAACAAATCCAAGGCTCAGAACATGGAAGGGAACCAAGCCCTTCCCCCGCAAGAACACGAGATATATGCAAATATATGCAGAGCAGTAGAACTAAACAACAGTCAAGAGGACTGAAGCTGAGGAGGAACATGTTCTGATCAGAAAGTATAAAACGGACTCCGGTCACCCTGTGCCCAAGCTCTCTGTTCCTTGCATTCCAAGCTGGTCTTCTCTCCAGCCATCCTATTAGTGGGTCTACCTGCATGTGGTAGTAGGCAGAAAATATCTGATTTAGAGGGCTTTGAAAAGTCATCTAAGCTAAGCACTAACTAACTGCTTATGGAACCCCAACTGGAAAAGCCCCAAGAATCAGCAGCAGACTTCACACCAACAGCTCCCACATTCCCATTCTGCCTGTGAACATCTCTGGGTACCAACAGACTCTTCCCTGTCTCGAGCTCCCACCTAACTCTGATTTTCTGCCTACTCTCTGGTTATATCTGTTGCTCTTGGGCACATGAACAAACACACAGATGCACACAAAACACATGTTCCACCATTATAGCCCTTTCTTATGGTAGCTTTTTAAAGACTTCTCCAGGAGTGATGTATTTTACATACTAAACAGACTCAATTCCTTTATTTATCCTCCAAGAAGAGAGTATTCATGCCATCATTTTCTTACTCTTTGGACTCTAACTTTCTCCAAAAGCCCATGTCCCTGGCACTTGTGAGAACTAGCAGAAGCTAGTGAGAAAGCTTCAGGTTATCAGGCATGGACATTTCAATGTCACAGTACGAGTTTTGACTCTCTATGCCCTGAGAAGGGCACACTTCTGGTGAGGGCTTACCTCCATAGTAGAGGCCTAAAAACAATGTGAATTTCAAGTCATGAATAAAACTCCAAATCTGAGATCTCAAACTCAGGAGCCCTAATCCCCACCCCTGCAAACCACAGACACTGCTCTTGAGTTGCAAGATATCAAATTCACCCTGGATTTAGGATTCAATAACAGCTACTCACAATCATTTTTGTCTTTTGGGACTCTTCTCTAAGACAAATCTCAGGATACTGGTTACACTATGAACATATCCTCTCTCCTTCACAGTCCCAGCCTCCCAGGGCTCTGCCACAACCCATCAATCAAATCAGTGAACCTCTCAGTCTTGCCTGGTGGTGACTCTGAAGCAGAAAGAAGCATGCAGCAAGAATCAGGAGAAAAGGGACCCTGAAGGGGTGACTGTGAATTGGGAATTACCTGTTCATTCAATCTTGCATTTCCTCTGAGACTCACTCTCTCTCTCTCTCTCTCTCTCTCTCTCTCTCTCTCTCTCTCTCTCTC